CCAGCAGCCTCCAAACAACCACTACCATTTCGCCCACAAAACAGTCACTGCACTTTACAGTGTATCCTGTGAAGTGCTCTGAGACGCCTCGAAGACGTGATAAAGCACTGTATCTAATGCAAGATTACTATTATTACAATCTGGCACATTTAATACCCCAAACTGCCAATTCTCCCATGACTGCTCTCACCGAATGATGGAACTAATACAGCATTTCTCTGGAGTGGACTGCGAGTTCAAGATACTCCAACCTCATAGTATCGGCAGCAAGTCATCAGATAAAGGCTAACCAATAGCACATAGTAATGAAATGGCTCACATGTCTGAGGGTTACCTTCTGTTACACGCCCTGTAAACTAGATACACCGTGGTGGTATTTGATCGGGTAAGTGGTTATGATGAGCTTGTAGGCATTTGTCCGAGCGAGTACGTCAGGTGAAGTAACCGCATTTGCAAAACGCTTTGCTTCCTGCGTTAACACACGCATTCTACATACCAGAATTGCCATAAAGTCCCTTCACTTCGAGCTGAAGCAACGGATTTGGTCTAAACACACTCCAGCATCAGCACAACAAGCAGAAGAAAATCAGAATGTTTCAACGTGAGATTACTCCCTTTACTTAGCAAGCTCTGGCCTGTTTCACTTTCCCTGCCCTGCAAGTTCAGTCGTCCCATTCAGCCCACGCTCTGTGCAATTCCATTCAGGAATCCTCGGACTCACTCCCTCCCTTCCCTATTTTGAGACACACCTCAAAACGTAACTCTATGTCCTGGTGATCACCCAGCAATTGCTCGATGTGAGAAGCGCTGTACAAGTGTAAACGGTATTGCGTTGTGTTGTACTACACAGGCTTCCACAGACTGATCGATCACCTGAAATATTACAGTAATATCCACGCAATCTAAAAAAAGGTTACTTATAAAATCCTACAAGAGGCCCTGGCCAAGGTTCACAGGTCATAAAAATCTGTAGCGTGAGACTTATGGGCTGAAGGGTAACATACCTGGATGAAACATTAAACAGGAAAGCTCTTGTGGAAACATTCAGGCACAGGACAGGTTTTCTTTGATCAGAGGACAAAAGGACACTCCCAAAACCAAAGTTTAGTTTGTGAAGGATTCTGAATCCGCGTAGTTCAGCATCCTCTCCGTTCCCGGTTGTATTTGGCACAACAAACTCAGCACGTTCCAGTTCTGTGGGCCGGAAGCAGGTCACATTGACTTCTTGCTCAAGTCATTCCTTCAACCTTTGCGACACACTCGACTACAAACAGTGCACCAGCTTGATACCATACTTATAACTGAATTACAAGCGTTTAACCCAAATGCGATGAATTCAGATAAAACCCCGGCCTGCGTTTCTCCTGTTGCTCAATGTTATTCCATAATCTTTGTTGGTGATGCACCTGTGTGGACGCTCTGTGGCTGATACAATCACCATGGTATCAGCCTTAAAGCCAACGTTTTTAACTCTGAAGCTCACGCAGAATTTAGCAAAATTCTTAATAATAAAATAATAATAATCCTCGCATTTGATACAGCGCCTGATCACGTCTTTGAGACGTCTCAAAGCGCTTCACAGAATATACCGTAAAGTGAACTGACTGTATATTTTGTGGGCGAAACGCGGCAGCCAATTGCGCACAGCAGCGTCCCACAAACAGTCGTGGATTGAGTGACCAAATTATTATTATTATTGTTAGCTTTAGAACCACTGTTTTAATTTAAGGTCATGTAGAATTTTGCTAAATTCTTAACAGTTCTGTATAGATTTGTGAGCTAGTGTTCCATTATTATTTCCAGGTGCTGTTATATAACCAACAGGTACAAAACAGCGTTTGAGGCCTCAGGTGGTTTCTGAAGTACCGTATTTGCCACATTTGTAAGACCCAACTCTGTGAACCGTGAGATCTGCAGCTTCCAGTGGAACTGTGGAACATAACGGACTCCGAGAACCTGAAGCGAGATTCCCTCCGAAACACATTCCGGCGTCAATACAAAACCTGCCAGTGTGGCTCAGCGCTTCGCTGTTTCAGGTATAGACGGGATTCTGTTTAATGACAGAAATATACCACACGCTGAGCTCTTCCTATTTCAACGGAAAAATAACTGCCACAAAATTCAGCACCAAGGTGCAAGGTACAGAAGACCTGTCCAGAAAACTTCCTCCTCCCTGCCTCCGTGACCTGCTAACCCGTCAGCCTGCCCACTCCCTGTGCTGCCAGGCCCTGGTCGGCTTTATGGGCTGCTGTGGCCCAAACGCGGCAGTTAATTGCACACAAGTGTTCCACAGATAGTCATGGATTGAGTGACCGAATCATTTTTTTTTAAAAAAGGATTATAACCCAGGAAAAGTGATCCGTCAATCGACTAACAACCCGGTTCCTTTCCCTTCCTGCCTTTCAACGTTTCTCCCTGACCCGGGAATCGAACCCGGGTCCTCTCGCTCGCGAGACGAGTGCTCCAACCACTGAGCTACAGGACTCCACATTCAAAGGGAAAAGTCTCCTCCTATATATAGCTTGCCAATGGCAATTTCCTGTACAGTACACGGTCTTGTTGAGCAGCTGCAGATGTAGAATGTACTGGCGAGCGCTTCTCTGATAAGTTGGGGTGTCAGCGTTGCTTGATCTGAAGAGACAGTGGCAACATGTGCAGCGTTTCTCCAGGGTCGTTTCCGAACAAAGTTGTTGGTTGTTTTCCGTGTCCTTTGTTAGCTCTCGCATTCAGCAACGTGATGAAGACCAGGATCCCACAAAGCTGCCATTGTTCCCTTGCACTTGGAGATCCCACAAGTACAACCAGGATGACTATCACAGCAAAACAATAACCACAATAATAAAAGGTGGAGCAATAATAATAATAATAATAATCCTCGCATTTGATACAGCGCCTTATCGTGTCTCAAAGCGCTTCGTAAGATACACCGTCAAGTGTAGTGACTGTATTCTGTGGTCGAAAACAAGAAGACTTCTAGCTGATGATTGGGTCACCATCCTTACCCCTAAATTGCTTGGTTGTTGGATAAGATGAGAGGCAGTGAAGCTCACAGAAGGTCCTTCCCTTTCTCCCAACGTGCCCCTCTCATTGGTGCCCAGGGCACAGGCACAACACAGCGCCAATCAAAATGGCATCCCGCGGGGGGGGGGGGGAATAGCTGACCGGTCAGAGGCCTCGGGTCAATCACATCCTGAGCTCACCTTGACTGGCCAGGAGTCCAACACACAACCTTGCAGAACAGGTAGACAGACAGACAGACAGAGGGGAGACAGACAGACAGACAGAGGGTAGACAGACAGACAGAGGGTAGACAGACAGAGGGGAGACAGACAGAGGGGAGACAGACAGACAGAGGGTAGACAGACAGATAGACAGACAGAGGGGAGACAGACAGATAGACAGACAGAGGGGAGACAGACAGACAGAGGGTAGACAGACAGATAGACAGACAGAGGGGAGACAGACAGATAGACAGACAGAGGGGAGACAGACAGACAGAGGGTAGACAGACAGATAGACAGACAGAGGGGAGACAGACAGACAGAGGGGAGACAGACAGACAGAGGGGAGACAGACAGACAGAGGGGAGACAGACAGATAGACAGACAGAGGGGAGACAGACAGACAGATAGACAGACAGAGGGGAGACAGACAGATAGACAGACAGAGGGTAGAGAGACAGAGGGGAGACAGACAGACACTGGGGAGACAGACAGAAGACAGACGAGGGGAGACAGGAGCCCAGTGAAAGGTTTGGGTAATCACACAAGCACAGTTTATGAGATTTAGCAATATTAATCATCATTAATCAGCCAGCTCAGTGTGATGCTGCTGCCTTGAGACATATGAAAACCTTTTTTCACAAATGCATATAATTTCAAAATAAATGAGGTTGTAGAGAAATAACTAAACAGTATTGCAGCAATGCAATATATTTGAACTCAAATAATACATTTTATTATTTACCGGTACAGGGATATATGTGCTTTTTATGTTTTGTAGTACATCATTTATAGAACAGCTATTTATAGTTGCGGGACCAGTCAGATGGAAAGCAGTTGTTTAATATTCATGACTAGCATAAACAGCTCCATTGAGCCAGTTACTTTTGGATTAAATCCTGTTTAAAATATGCATAAGCTTGAATTTTAAAAAAGGAGTTTTGTTTGCAAGATCTTTTTGTCTTAAAGGAGATAGATTTTTTTTGATTTTGTTCGTGTTTTCTTGACCAGCCGTCAGTAACTTCACTTTGAATATTAATAATAATAATCCTTGCATTTGATATAGCGCTTTTCACGTCGGGAGGACGTCCCAAAGCGCTTCACAGAACACACTGTAAAGTGAATTGACTGTATATTTGTGGGCGAACGCGGCAGCCAATTGTGCACAGCAATGTCCCACAAACAGTCGTAGATTAAAAATGACCAATTTATTATTGTTTTGTTTTGGAGGGATTATTATTAGGCTCTGTGTGGATAAACCAAGGTTCTGTCTGCCTGTCCAGGTGGACGTTGAAGATCGTATGGCACTGTTGGAAAAGTTTCCCGCGGTGACCTGACCAACAATCCCCACAAATAAAATTGGTCACTTGCTGATCTGTGGCTGATCATGGGGCATTACTGTGTGCAATATCTTGCTGTCATTGCTGTTCAATGAAATGAAATGCTGTACACTGTCCAGCGCCTTGGGACGTCCTTCCTACATGAAAGGCACTGTACAAATGTAATGTTGTTGAATCGAGGGTGTGGAGCCTACAAAATATGGTGTATTGATGGCCAACGCTAAAAACTACAATTGCTGTATTTGCTTGAATCAAAAGCATATTTTAAATATTTACAAAGGACATGGAAAATCAGGAATGTGCCTTCAAATCACAGCAACACACCCATTTTCCATCAAACTCTGACGTCTGCCTGTGGTTAGATTGCTTTTCTTCTCTTTACCAAAGCTGAGGTGTGCGATGATGTGGATTTGTGCCTGCAATTTCACGCACAGTGATTATGCTGTATGTAGACCCCGACCTCGTCCGCACCATTTTTTTCCGTGCCCCTGAAGAGATCAGTTATCCCAGGTTTCTCGTCCACTTCACTTAGGGTTTCCTGTTTTCCTCCTGTCTGGGAATAAAAGATGGTGCCTGGGACAAGGAAACCACAGTTTTTTCTTTAAAAAAGCAGCTTTCTGAGAAAATTGATACATAGAAATGCATTATTAAAGGTTTTAACATTTTTATTGTGCCTCAACGTGTTAGAGTAATTTTGTAAATTAGAATTTGGTTGGTACAGTATTTTGAAAAAAGTCTAGTTCCTATTAGGTGCCAATTTGAACTTCATTACTTTGGCTTTGGACAGACACGAATGCCTGAATTAAACTTTCAATTGCTAATTATACATTATTGTTGTAGTGTAATGAGGTTCTTTATCGTCTGTTTTTCTCCCTGAACACAGTTTTTCTGGTCATTTTTTATCCAAAAAAATAGAATATGGTACAGATAAGAGATAGAAGAGCAAGTGGAGAAAAATAACTACTACTTCTAACCATCTGCTTTCTTAACCATTTGCTCAGGGGGATTTACATCACTGGTTCCAGTATTCTCGGGGGTGGTGTGAAGGCTCCAAGGATTAAAACCAAAAATCTTGTCAGGTAATAAGTTTTAAAATATCTCTGACAGGCGTGTGTGTGTTAATTTTTCGCTTCAGTTATTGAATTTATTATAAATTTGGCATCATCAAACTGATTCATCATACAAAAGGTTTTAAAGATAGCTTTCCTTTCTCCATAATGTCTTATTGGCAAGGTAGAAAAGTAGTGCATTCATCATAACTAAATCAAATGCTGCCAGTTAGGGTTGTGTAATAAAACCTGCACACAGGCTGACATTTCCACACTGGGAGCATATGCACATAATGTTAAGCCAGTTTAGTAGTAGTATTAGAAAAGGGCTAGGATCAATTTTCAGACACTGCATGTGATTTTCATGCTTTTTTTGCTTTCTGTTGTTCCAGCATCATTTTCTGTGAAGCTGTCGCGATTTACGGGATTATTATGGCGATTGTCATCAGTAACATGGCAGAGGTATGTGAGGTTTTACTGTGGATGGCGAATAACCAGACTGATGCCCCATATTATTTAATTTCTATTTCAATAAAAACCTTTTTTTTCCTACAGCCGTTTAGTGGCAATACTCCTCAGACCATTGGAGCCAAGAATTACCAAGCGGGTATGTTTGACTTTATATCTTTAAAATGATTTGGGATCTGTGAACTGGATAGTGGCGAATTGTAATCCATCATCCGTATCCAGAGAATTTTGTGATGGAAAGAGGAGTGTTGCAGGAGAATTCCAAAGTTGATGATTGTGGTGAACTTGATGGATGAGCTTGAAGCTTTGAGAATTGTGGATTTCTGGGCATTGCCATGATTTGAATTATTTTGCAGTCTCCCTTTTAATATATCACAGTTTGACTAAACTAATATGTTACAGCTCTATTGTTTTGAAGAAAATGATCTTTTTGTTAGTTTTACTGACTGGAAACCTTATATGGAACCTTATGTCGTGGTCTTGTCTTGAATTTGACAGGATTGTACACTGTGTTCAGGGCACTATGCCTTCATTCTCCAGTTTCTAGTCTTTAGCAGAAACAACAAATAAAAGTCCCTATATCTTTAGCTAAGGGCAGTGAGTAAAATCAGTCTCTACCCTTAATCCTGTTGCCAATAGGTGGTCCACCAAATTGCTCTTAATTTTAATGTAATTAAGTAGTGTAGCACTCTTTTTGTCAAACTTTTCAGTTATGTTATGACTGAGTGTGTGGTTTGTGTTGCAGAGGAGAGATGGTGCCAATCTCATTTGTTTTGTAACCTGACGCATTAATAGTTCAAATACTGTCGAGCTGTTCAGAAATTGTGCTTTCCTTAAGTGTGAATGGGGTTTTGATGGGTGAAGAACATTTTTTGTGGGGAGTTGGGAGGGGAAGAAACACAGTGGAACCTTTAAATTGAAATAAATCTATTTTAGTAATCAAAAGAATGTTCCACGTTTGAGGTGTCAGGCTTGACTTAACTAAGCGCTGGTTGGGGTTTTGCCCAGCCTGGTTAAGCATGGGTTAGCTTCTTGATATTGATGGATGGAATCCAGTTCCTCGCTTAGCTTGTTTCTAGGACGGGAGAAAGTGAGGTAGGGTAAGAAAGAATTGCTTTTGGGAAATTATACATTCTATATATAAATGAGGCCATGAAAACACGTGGATGCACACTTGTTTCATTACAAAGTGATATTCAGGCTTAGTAATCTGAGCTGTTTTGACTTTGCAGCTTTAACATTTTGTTTCTCTTCAGGATTCTCTATGTTTGGAGCCGGCCTGACTGTAGGATTCTCTAACCTCTTCTGTGGCATCTGTGTTGGTATCGTGGGCAGTGGTGCTGCCCTGGCTGATGCCCAGAATGCCAGCCTCTTTGTGAAGATCCTAATTGTTGAGATTTTTGGTAGTGCCATTGGGTTGTTTGGTGTCATTGTGGCTATTCTACAGGTAAGATCACTTCATTGTATATTTCAGAGTAGGTATTTACTGTAGTGAGACCTTGAGATTTATTAACCTAATGTTTACTTGCAATAGAATTCTGTGGCGATTGACATTTAATTCCAACTTAAAACCATTTTTGACAACACTTGTTCGCTTCATGGCTAATTTAATTATGAGTTACACACTTTACCGTGTTTTCAGCAATTTTCTATTCTATTCAGCGTGCTGCTTTAGCTGTCTAGCTTGTCCAACGTGAGACATTTACAGAAAATCAGTTAATTGCAGCAGGCAACAACAACAACAGCTTGGATTTATATAGCGCCCTCCACGCCGGACGGCGTCTCAGAGCTTCAAAGTAACGGATCCCGGGGAAGAGCTGGGGGGGAGGGGGGGGGGGAGTGACGAAAGGCGCGATCGAAAAGAAAGGTCTTCAGCCAAGAAAATAGGAAGAGAGGGAGCGAGGGGAAGGGAGTGAGGAAGGGAATTCCAGAGCCTCGGGGCATAGTGGCTGAAGGCACGGCTACCGAGGGTGGAGCGGAGAACTCGGGGGACAAGGAGGAGACCAGACCCGGTGGAACGAAGGCATCGGGCACTGTTGTGAGGAGAGAGGTCAGAGAAGTCGGGGAGTGCAGAGGAGTGGAGGGATTTGAAGACGTGTGAGGATCTTGAAGTCGATCCTCTCTGGGACAGGAGCCAGTGCAGTCTGGCCAGGACTGGGGGGATTGGGGAGCCACTAGGATGATAAACCTTTTGATAATTCCCCCCTCACCTTTTCTTTAAAACAGACGTCCAGAGTGAAGATGGGAGATTAGGCCGTTTGAAGACATACAAGAGCCTCAGAAAATCAAGATGTTCATATTCTGGAAAGAAGACCAAGGCAAATTGTACATAATAATTTATTTAACTATTTTCCTGATCTTTTGTTTCTGACTGTTTTTAACCCATCATTTGCTGGAGAGTGATAATGTCAACAGTCTACAGTGGTTTCTGGTTAGTTGTGCGACAGAGACCAGGTCTTGTTCAGCAGAGACAGTATTCTTAGTCTGTACCCCTAACTTGCAGATGTCACTCCTCATTTGTGTTTTCTTGGAAGTTAGTGGTCAGGCAGAATATTTAAACTCCTGCTGTCATGTACTGGTCCATTTCATGCAATGTGATACAACTGAGGCAATGTCTGCCACATGTAAGTGGTAGCAATGAATCTAATGCTGCAATCATGCCACACTCCCATTTGCCAAGACCTTGCCAAGTCTGCAATGGATGGATTCACATTAAACTGTCCCTGTAAAATTTGTGTGCATCAAGTTACATCTTGTAGGTGTTTTGTTTCCCTTTTCAATGTAATGGAGAAGCTTGTGCACAAGAACTTTGAATTGTTCATGTTTTGTTACACCAGAATAGTCACCAGTAAAATAAAGGACAGATTTCTACTTGGTGCTGTGCGCAAAGATATTTCAGGAAATATACCCAGTCGTTTTTTTCCAAACAAAGTTTTCTAGTAGTCCAGAGAAGTTTCTCAAACAGTACCACTGGTGCCCATGCCTGGTGACATTATACTTGAGACCACCAGTTACTGATTAAAAAAAAACATCAATGTCAGGTTAACGGTCAAATTGGAATTTCTGAGAATGGTAAAGTAAATTATATTCTTACACTTAAAAGCATTTACATGGCATTACAAATGAAGTGTATGAGCACTAATTGAGGGCACTAATATGCCACGTTTCCCAACTTTAAAAAAAAATGAGGTGTGTTTGGATTACATGCTTTAACAATTCCCCCAAAAGCCATGTGGCTGTTGTATTCAGAGTTTATAGCAACACTCACAGCAGTTTCCATTGATGGTGGGTCTTTCACTCTGCAGTGCTCATCATGCAAAGGATGAGCGAGCGATTTTCACAGATCGTGCAGCCTGTAAAATGGATGATGGGTCCCTCAAACAATTTGTGTAAAATGAGCACTAAATGCACTTGTTTCTGTTTTTTTAATATAAAAAAACTTTAAATCTTTTAGTTGTGTAAACCTTACAGCTCATAAATTCTTTGTGGTTGAAGTTTAAAAATAAAAGTTCTAAATCCTCACCAGGATATATAAGAAGTCTGTTTACACCAAATAAAAGTCTTAATTAAAACCTGCAGTGTCAAAAATCCACTTGCCCTGTTTTGGTTGCAGTCTTTTCGGATTCAGCTGCCAAAAATGTACAACTTCAAACATGTATGTTGGAAAATGCTTCACTTTCAGACAAAATGGGATTGGAGCTGGTTAAGTGGGTTAAAGGATGAGATAAATTCTTGATTTAAACTGCTTTCAGACTAGACAGCTGATCATTTATGAAGTTTTGTTCCTAGAAACTTGGAAAATTACAATTGTTCTCATTTTTTTCCACTTTATTAAACTCTTAACCAATTTTTCATGGCCAGATAAATTGGCTTGTTAGGAGCCTCCACATTTGGTGCCGCTTCCCTGTGTAGCCAGTGGGATATGTGCCAGCTCTCCTCGTATAGCTGGTGAGCTAGAACAATGAGCAGTGACTTTGCAATAATAAAGATGTGAAGTGAATGTTTAAAATGTTTGACCTCTACTGTGCTACAATACCACTTGTTTTTTTGTTGAATTTTTTTCACTCCTGTACGACACCATTTTGCATCATCTTTCAGTGCAGTGCAGTTCCTCAGTCCTGGAAGATTCCAGATGGCAGCTTTATTTGTGGTTGTGTCGTGCATTCTAATTAGGGGAAGTAACATCAGAGCAGCATGAAACCAGACAGGTCTGCAATACTCCCTCGATCTTTAGTGTTAGAATATTCTCCGTAAAGGAAATGTGCCATGTTAGTGTAGCTGCGTGGTTTACCAGGGTAGAAGTATCCACGAGATCAGGTTATATTAAACATTGGTGTGGACAGAGCATTGGCTACGACAGACGAGCTGTTGTGAGGTGGCATCAGTTAATGTAAATAATAAATACATTTTTATTAAATGTATGTATTTAAAAAATAACAGCCCAGTAGATCTTTAATGAACTCCAATGGCCTTATATGGAAGGGGGAAAAAGAAGATTGACACAATGAGTAGGAATAATTGTCTTCCTTTTGAAACCTTTTGAAATTTCAGTCTAGACTATGGTGATGAATATATTCTCCATTGACTGAAAGCCTCTGAAGTGAAGTGAATCTTAACCAAGCTGCTCCAGATAGACCCACGGCAAAAAAAAATGCTTGCAATTCGATAAATTTGGCATAAAGTCAACTTGTGCAATAGAAATTAGCGTATGCAATGGAAATCGTGGTAGTCGCCTCCCAATTGCTATGAGGCCAATGAGCAAATTACCTTCGGCCCCTGACGTACAAGGCTGTTTTTTGTTTTCGGCGACTTGATGGCTGCTGTGGGTAATGGAAACGTGTTGGTGACAAAATAAGGGAGTTGCCTTTGAGTTTGAGGACATGGTACATTTGGGTGGTGTAATGGGAGTTTCAACTGGCGTTCGGCCTGAGTGTTTGATACTGATACTTGATGCAAAAAGTGGTTCTATTCTTAGTACTGACACTTCTCGTCCTAAACGTAAAATCACTAAAATGTATTAATCAAAATCTATACCTTCGTAGTTGCTTTATCAACATCCATTCCTCTGTCACATCAGTGAGGCAATGACCCAGCTATCCGTAACCCAGCTGCTTAATTTATCCACTGGACCTCATTCTTTTAATTTTTTTGCAATGGTTCCCTTTGTAAACTTCTGCTTATTGATGCTCCGTCCTTCCGTGCTTATTGAGCCAGGTCGATTTAAAATATCTCAATTTTATTGTCTTTATAACACAAAAGCCTGATTTTTAAAGTGTTCATGAATGTGTAATTAAGCGCTCTGAGACGCTCCCCTGCGTGAAGGGCCCTATATATACATACATATATATATATATGCAAGTTGTAATTAAGTCAAAAAATCGCTGGAGAGTGTAGGCACTGATTTAACAGAGGGTGGGTTATTGTTACTGCTTTATTAGTAAATTACTGAAAATATTGAGCTTTCTTCCCTCTACTATTCATCTGCTTTGCATTCTGAACTATAAATAGTCATCCGCCCATGAATACAGATTGTAGCATTTGGATGCATTTTGTTTTTATTGCCTTTTAACTTTCTCAAAGCCCAACCGGATAGAAGACTAGAACCATCAGAAGTTGGTGTGCAGTCAAAGCTGCCCTCTTCACTTCCTTGGAATCCTTTTCTTTGAAGGGAGGAGAGCATTTATTTATCTATCAAATGTATTTTAGAAAAGTGTCTCTTTTTCGCTTGTCTTTTCATGGTCTAATTTGCTGTTCAAGGTGATGACAATAGCCTTTCAGTTGTCCACAAGCACAGGCATGAAACCTGCAATGTGGTGCAAACCATTTATGTCATTGCACTTTTCTTAATATGCCTGGAACTCCAGTCAAGCTGAAGACAATGTTTTTGGTGGTGGGATTAGTGTTCACTGTGAAATATATTTCAACAATTCCGTTGCTCCAAAACCCTCAATAGCCTTATGTTTGGCAATAAAATCATGAAATTAATCTGGGAAGGAGTGAGGAAAGAGAGCGATGAATGGATATAACCAATTTAAGTTATCCCAAGTACCAATTGTTACTACCAAAAATAAAACAATCTCTTTATCACAAAGCCATGGAACGTTAAGCATGCTGTAATTAAAATGTATTCATGGCCTTTGTAAATGTACTTTATATTTGTAGTTTTTTTTGAATGGATTTAAAACAAATTATTGATTTACAAAACAAATTTAAGTAATTAGGTAAATGGTGTCCCATATTAGTATAATAATATATGGTCGCAGTGCTGAAACCTTTACCAAGCTGTAGCTTGTTGATAAGTTGTACGTTTGCCCCAGTGATGGGTCTGTAAAGTGCGATTGTAACTTGTTTATAACTTTTTTGTTACACCGGTCTCAGCTCTTATGATCTTTTGTTTCAGCCCGGCTGGTTTTTGAAGGGAAAAAACAAACCCGCAAGTTCGCAATAGATCTTTTTGTTTTTTTTTTAAAAAAAAGTTATTTCTTGATCCAACTTGTGTTTTCTTATGCTAAAGATTATGATGAGAATTAACGTATTTATAATTGGGAGACCACTTGGCAAAAGATGCAGTAGAAATCAGCGTATGCAATAGAAATCATGGCATTCGCCTCCAATTGCCATGAGGCCAATGAGCCAGTGACCATCTGCCCCTGACATACAGGGCTGTAATTTTGGATGACTGAGGGAGAGGAGGAGAATTAAAGCAAAGAGTAGATTGCTGTCCCTAAATAATAAAAACATTGGCGCTTGAAGTCACCTTGCTTAACCAACTTGTCATGTACACACATCTGGTTTTGGCTTTGTCCAAGTACAAACTTAAATTAAAAACTAAACACTGCAAGTGTAACTTACAGAAGACATAAAACTATTTACAACAGAATAAATACTTGGGAGAATGTTTGAATTGATTTCTACTGAAATTCTTCCTCCACCCCCCGCCTCCACCCCCCGCTAGCTGAATCAAGCAGATTTGATTGTCACAATGGTTGGTTCTGAATAAGTCAATGGCAGATTGTGCTTTCAAATTAAATTCATGTAGAGAGGATCGTTCTCTTCAGTTGCTCAAGCAAACAATTTCACTCTCAACCTTTTCTGAAGTCAGTTTAATGTGGTGCTGTAAATGGCAGTTACATTTTGTTTAGTGTTTTTTTTTGTTTCTGAATAAATGAGTGCAAACCTCCTGGCTCCTGTTCTAGAGGTTTATCTGGTTTGTACCAGAGCTTTATGTGGTAGGAAAGGGAAAGCATTAGGTTGTAATGCATAATTCTGTGTGAGGCATCAGTTAGTACCTGTTGGCTAAACTCTGTGTTTAATCCTCTGTCTAAGTAGGGAATGTGTCATAAATTTGTCACTTCCCCTCAATTACTTGTATTCTAAAAATCTTGTATGGCATTTCTTATATGTTCATCACAGAATATACTGTAAGGTGAATTGACTGTGTATTTTTGGGTGAAACTAAGGCATGTAATCAAAAGCAACCACCTGTCCTGATACCTGATAGAAAATCAGTCTTAAAAGTTCTTAAACGGGTTCCTGAAAACTTGTAACAGAAGATCGAATTATGGTGAACCATTCCTGTATTCTTTGTAATGTTGTACACCTTATTACAGATTCCTGTGTAAGAAATGTTCATCTGAGATCTTGTATTTATTGCATTCCTGGAAATTTAGCTGTAGCTGTAAAAGTAGCTGGAAAGTCACTGTATGCAATTTCTTTGTAACGGACGATGATGCTAATTGTTTCAGACATTTTGTGCTTGTGTTGAAATGTCAGTGGTGAACTTTGTAGAATTTGCCTTTCGGGAATGTGTTTTACATGGGTGATGTTAACTACATGATTCAACTTGCAAAATCCTTGGAGAAATTAAAGTTCTATTTAAAAAAAAACGAAAGCTGCTGTAGTTTAATTTCAATTGTCACAGCTGCTGCATTTGACATCAAACTTTTTAGTTAATTGAATTTTCACTTTGAAAAGACTTTCTAAAACTTCCATCTTAATAGGAATGTAGGAATGTACGGGACTCTAGTCCATCTGGTTAGGCCCAAGATTGAAGAATTCTATGTGATACGCTCATCACTATATATTATCTGAAGACACTATATGGTACACTCATTAGTGGGAGAAGTGGCCTTTTTTTTCACACCGCTCTTTAGATCCCACTTAATAACCTGCTTAACAACATTAGCCGTATTTTTCCTTATTTCATAACATTTGAATCATTTCTCTTTTCAAGTTTCTTCTGATGTCCTGGCAACAGTTTTCCAGAATAATTGATGATTCATGTTGAGGCTGTTTGTGAGCCTCTCTGACACAACTGTTAACTGCGTTTGCCTACAATGGCCTCCACCCCACTTAATCAGATGATACTCAGCATTTGATTAGCTTTGCTGATGGTATTCAGAGTTGGACGACTACTTGAGGATCCTTTGCAATACTGATCTGCCAAATAGCCCAGAGTTCATTCAGCTCATAATTTTTCAAATTTATTTTGCCCGTATTTCAATTAGTTTCTACACCAATCG